TCTGGAACGTTCAGCAGAGCTCTGAGCTGTCCCATGGGTGAGCACGCTGTAATCTGGGGCTCAGAGTGTGCACCATCACTGCAGGCCGATAAGGTGCGGGGACGGAGCTCTCTTGAGTCCCCGAGACCTGCCGCCTGCCTCGGGACCCCATGGGAGAAGAGGAGGAGCCTCAGGAGAGCACAGGGCAGGGCCCCAGGCCACAGTCCTTGTCTGCGGATGACAGGAATCCAGGAATCGGCAGCAAAGGGCCTGGAGAAAGGGTGGAGCTGAGGTCCCTCCAGGGTCACATGGACTAGGGTCATGTGGGCAGTGGACCCTTGGGCCCAGGTATGTCACTGTGCACCTTGACAGCAGCAAGAGTCGTGGCCTGGGAAGATGTTCGGAGAAGTACAGGAGTGGCCAGGGTGAGGGTTTGCAGAGTGGCCTCCTCCCGCCTTCAGAAAATGCCCAGCACCAGTGTTGTGAGGGAACGTGAAGCTGTTTCATTTTTAGTTCCTTTCACAAAAGACTCCATTTGTAGGAAGAATAGAATCAAAAGGGCTTTGTCTGTCCCTCCGCCACAACAAAACCCTTGCTCCATTTTTGAAGAAACTGTGCGTAAGACTCATGAATGCAGACTGGACCTCAGCTCTGCACACTGGAAGCTGGCAAGTCCCTGGGTGCAGATCTGATTTTCTTTTCCAAGATGGACTAAAAGGGTTTCTATAACACCAATTAGGCACCAGTGATTTACTGCAGAGATGGATCTAACCACAGCCAGCTCTCTGAGAGGGGGAAGAGGGCCTGCGAGGAAACACTAAGGGCAAGAAGGGGCGCAGGGTGGGATGGGAAGTGCATGCCACCCTCACGTCATAGCACGCGACCGCCTGTGGACTCAGGACCTGACAGCTGGCTTCCTGGGACCTCGGGCACTTCCTCTGCGACTCCCGTCTCCGCACTGGACCTTAGTGGTGACCCTCCTGCGGGGTGAGCCCCAGCCACAGTCCAGTTCTGGAGAAGACGTTTCGGTCACTTTGTCCGTCCATCCACGCTGCAGGAGCCCAACAGGCCAGGTCCTGCAAGGGTGCTGTGCTAGGTGGTGCTGAGTCAGCTGCGCGCTGGTCCCTCCTGCACAGCTGCGGGTGCCGAGGCTCAGGCCGGCACAGGCTCAAGCTGCCGACGAGGCTGTGAAGCCTGCCACGCTGTCCTGTCGTTGGGGCGCCCCTCAGGCCCCTAGCGCCTGGCGTCCACTCAGCCACCGGGCCTGCCTCTGCAGCAGAACTTGACATTCTGAATCAAAGGCTCTGACAGCCCCCGTGACTGATGGCAGGTGAAGCCGTGTGTCTGCAGACAGTGTGCAGGGCCCGGCCCAGCAGTGTGGATGAGCTGTGCCTGAGCGAGGTCCGCAGCTCCTTCCCCTGAAACACTCGGCCCTACAGCTGTGAGGTTTACTCTTCTCCCCCAGAAAGAAGCCTTCCGAGAAGGTGGGAAGCACTCAGGTGCTAGCACAGGCATCTAGTCAGTGACTTTTAGTATTTGCTCTTTCAAGAGCTAATTGGGGGCCGGCGCCGCGGCTAATCCTCCGCCTTGCGGCGCCGGCATACTGGGTTCTAGTCCCGGTCTTCCAGGCCAGCTCTCTGCTGTGGCCTGGGAGTGCAGTGGAGGATGGCCCAAGTCCTTGGGCCCTGCACCCCATGGGAGAGCAGGGTAAGTACCTGGCTCCTGCCATCGGATCAGCGCGGTGCGCCGGCCGCAGCGCGCCGGCCGCGGCGGCCATTGGAGGGTGAACCAACGGCAAAAGGAAGACCTTTCTCTCTGTCTCTCTCTCTCTCACTGTCCACTCTGCCTGTCAAAAAAAAAAAAAAAAAAAAAAGAGCTAATTGGGGGGCCTGCACTGTGGTGTAGCAAGTAAAGCCACTGCCTGCAGTGCCGGCATCCCATATGGATGCCGGTTCAAGTGCCGGCTGCTCCACTTCTGATCCAGCTCTCTGCTATGGCCTGGGAAAGCAGTGGAAGATGGCCCAACACCTTGGGCCCTGCACCCATGTAGGAGACCTGGAAGAAGTTCCTGTATCCTAGCTTTGAGAATGGTGCAGCTCTGACCATTGCAGCCAGCTGGAGAGTGAACCAGCGGATGAAAGACCTCTTTCTCTCTCTCTCTCTCACTGCCTCTCCTTCTCTGTGTAACTCTTTCAAATAAATAAATTTTTATTTTAAATAAAAGAGCTAGTTGGAAGACAAAAAAAAAAGTCTGCAATATTTACAAAATCAAAAGATTTGATGTGAGGACATGGCAACTGTGTAACATGCTGAATTCCACATTTTCTTAAAGATCATGGCTGCTTTTTAAAAAAGCAGACATCCTAAAACATAAACCCGTGACTGTGGTTTGAAATCCAAGGCTGCCACGGTGATGTCTGTCCTAATGATGCAACCACAGCTCCAAATATTTGGGGACGCCTTTATGTGAGGCCCCGAGAAATCAGGCTCCACGTGGTGCTCACATGCTTCCCATTAACCAGCTTTGCACTCTGTTGCTCTCTTAGTCATGAGACCCTGGGCCACATGACCTTCCCCAAAGACCAAATTCATGCTCAAGGGACCTTCACGGTTCTGCAGGGGGCCAGCGAGGGGGCAGGAGTCAGGCCACACCACAGTCCTCCACTGTGTGACATCTGCCAGGTGCAGAGCCACAGCCCAGGGCCACAGCCTGTGGCACCCTTTGCGCCGGCTGCTGAGACAACTTGGAGAGGAAAGCACACGCAGCCTCCCAAGCCGCCTGCCACTCGCAGCAAGATGGGCCTCGGACGGTGTGACTCGGCGCAGCCTCCATGACCAACCACAGCTGGCCCTGCTGCCCCCCCCTTCCCGAAGGCCCCCCGGGCTGAGGGTGGACACAGGCGCAGCGGCGGCTCACGCTCACTGGGATGCTAAGGTTTTCTCTCTCGTGGGACCAGGAAAAGCTTTCACGCCACCACGTGCCTCAGGCGGTGGAGGCCCCGCGCCCGGTTCCAACAAGGACAACGCAGCATCGGGAGTCTGCTCCTCCCACCAGAAAGCTCGGGCCCCCTGGTAACCGAGTGCTGTGGTCCCCTTTGCTTCTGAAGGAGGCTCATGGCTTGTGTTCGCAGGGCTGGCCCTCCCAGCCAGCTCTCATGGGTCTGAGTGGATACTCTCGGGGCAGATAGTGGCCTGCAGCACACACCCCCTTCCTGCAGAGCTGCGGTGTGCAGGCATCAGGCCTGAGCACACCCGCAGGACACCACAGCCCACCTCAGAGGCCCACCTGATGCCTGCGCCACGCGAATCCTCAGCTACACCCCTGGTCCCTGCTCTGCCACAGTCCACTCCGCAAGAGGGGCTGCAGGACCCCATGGAAGCTCCCACCCCAGGCCTCCCCTGGGCTTGGCTAATGATTATAAATGGCAAAGAAGCTCCAATGTAATTGCAAAAGCTAATGATGCATTGAGCATAAGATTAGATTCACCACAGAAAGCAATATCCTCAGACAATAAACGACAAAGCCCAGAGGCTGGGGGTGCCCAATGGGAAGGCGTCTGCACGGAATGCCGTGGCCAGGGTCACAAAGCCACACCGGCAGAGCTGCTGACGGCGGATAAAAAACACAGAGAGAAACTGAATTGATCTCTGCAGAAAATAGGTTACAGATTAATCACCCTTCCAAGAAATCCTTTTGCTATGACTTGGGGTCTGAGCTGAGTTCACCGTCTGACTACAGAATAGGGTGGCCAGGGCAGGGAGAGGGTTCCCCGCGGGTCCCAGCACCCAGGGCGCCTCTCAGAGCAACCGGCTCCATCCGGCCACCATAGCCGGAGCGAGTAACCCTCTATATAGTCTCAGTTCTGTGCGGCCACCCGCTGTGACGCAGGCTGAGGGGGGCACTGGGGAGGAGCACCTTGGACTAAGACCCAGACTCCCAGTGCCTGGCCCAGAGAGCGGAGAACTGTGCCCTGTCCCCCGACCCATGGGGCTCTGGGGCCAATCTTGGGCTTCATATTCCATCTCAAGTTGTGTGAACCTTGCCTTACTCCATGCTGTGGACAACTGTCTCAGTTTAAAATGTTGTAGTAAAAATACTGATTCCTCCTTAAATGTGCAGGGAAAATAGCCCACCCTTAAACTTCACTCTGAAACCCAGGAGACCCCCTTCTGACCATTCTAAGGCTTTAACAAGGCACTTCGATTTTAAAGTCCGAGTTCAGCGCCATGTATCAATAGTGACAGATCATCACTGCCGCCTCCCTGCAACTCCTGGAGAGTGAGGCCCATGCGGAGCCCCAGGACGTCACAGCGCCCTAGGAAGAAACGAAGGGGCTGAGGCTGTCCGGCGGGTCCCTCGCGGGACCTTTCACCGCGGCGGCGGCGGCGGGGGGGGGGGGGGGGGTGGCAAGCTGGCAGCAGCAGCTCAGTCACTTCAGATTCCCTGGTTTTCCTCTTTTCTAAAGTTGTTACTTCCACAGAAGCAAATGTAGGGAAATTACAAATGCATGTGAAGCCACATTTTAAGAGAGAAATTTAAGGAATCAAAAATGGAAAAATACATGCCAATATTTACTCTATGAAAGATAAAGTATTCAAAATGATGAATATTTGAAAGCAAAACTGGTTCCAAAGAAAGTAGGTGCTAAAAATTATTTTCATCATATGCAAATATGCTAGAAGAGTTAGCCAACACTGTGAAATTAGTATTTTATAACCACTCCCTCTCAAAAGTGTGATTTTAACCAAATATACTTTAAAAATCCATTCATTAAAAAGGACAACACGCTTAAAACAGAGGAACGTATTTTAAATATTCCACTTCCTCCTGTGGACAAATCAGGACACAGGGCTCAGTGTGATCTCTCACTCAGCTCTCGGCTTTCTCCAGAAAAGCCGATCGATTCACCCACCAGTTACTTGAGACCCACTCTCGACGTGCTAAATGTGTGTGAGTGCAGGATGTCCTGAACTTCACCTGAAGTTCTGACTCAAAAGGCAGGTGCGTGTGCGATACTCACCACAGCCTGGCTGGAGCTCTCCTGCAGGTCCCACAGCAGGATGTGGTTGTCAGCCAAGGAGATGACCTTCTTCCCATCCCCCATGGGCTCCCAGGTCACACTAAGGGAACAGGAGGTCAAAGGTCAACACAGACACACCCGCCGAGATACAGCACTCAGAGCATGAGGCACTGACTGTCACAGCCCTGGCCCACGGCCATGAGGAGCGCTTACCAACATCAGTATCTGACACTGTGGCTGTCTCACCCGACCCTCACCACTGTGGACAAGACTGCTGACGCCCAGGCCCCAGACTGATGATGGCATTTGAAACTGGGGCCTTGGGGAGTTGATTGGGGTCAGGCAAGGTCACGAGAATGGTTCTGGTCTCTGCCCTGTGAGCACACAGAACTGGCTGACATCCTAACGTTGGCCTTCCTGCCTCTGGAATGGCGAGGGGAGTCTCTGTGTGCAGCCTTCCCATTCTCATAATTTTTTCCTGGTGGTCGAGCTGAGTGTGCAGTCAGACCCAAGTGAGCCACCAGTGACCAAGGGGTGGGTGTGTCGGGCCCGTGGAGGGCTTGTGGGTGGATGGTCTCTGGGAAGCAGAGACGGTAACTGGGACAGGATGTCCACACCTTTTGTAGCTTCCTCCCTAGGAGCTCAGGGATGAAGGCCAAGTTGCAGAGATGGGAAGACAGCACTAGGCCCAGGGTCCACCCTGCCTGTAGCAGGGATCACTTCCCCAGGTCAGAGCCAGCATGAGCCACTTCCCCAGTGTCTGCCGCAAGCCATCCTGATACGTTGCAGATTGGAGTAATTAACACAAGGCCCTAACTCATAGCCTCTCTGGGAAAGCCTCTGAAGATCAAGAGTTTTCAACCTGGTTGCGAACACAGACTTTTGTGTTCCTTAAGGAAACTCTTAAGGTGCTAATAAAGAGGACAAAATCCAGGTAGGCAGAAGATGCCTTTTAAGAAATAAAAAAGAGTATTCAGAAATAAATTTAGTTTCCCACTAGTACCTTAGGATTTGGAGAACAGCAGACAACACTAGAATAAGAGAAAATTTTGTGTTTTTTTTTTTTTTGTATTTAAAGATTTTTTATTTATTCATTTGAGAGGTAGAGCCACAGAGAGAGGGAGAAACAGAGAGAAAGGCTTTCCATCCATTGGTTCATTCCCCAAATGGCCACAATGGCAGGAGCTGGGCCTAAGCACTTGGTCCATCTTTCACTGCTTTCCCAGGCCATAGCAGAGTTGGATCAGAAGAGCAGCAGCTGGGACATAAACTGGCACCCATATGGGATGCTGGCACCACAGGCAGAGCTTAGCCTACTACAGCACAGCGCAGGCCCCTTGAGAGACAGATGTAACGGCCTCTGGACAACTGGGGCCTGTGTGCTGCAGCTGCCCCACGTGACCGTGTTTCAAGTGGCAGTGTTCCCGAGCCCTTGCTCAAAGTCTCCCCGACCCGCACATATGCCCCAGTCCTAACACACTAAGTCACCTGTTCCTGATTCCACAGAACAAAACTGGATTATGACTGGAGAGTGGTGGTTTAAACAAAAATATGAATAATTCAGGAGGCTATAAAAGCTGATGACTTGAGAGCAGTGGATTAGCGGGAAAGAAGCAGAAACACGGGGATTAAAAAGATCCAATAATCTGGGACAGCGCACGCTGAAGCGAGCTGGAAACAGCTGGGGGCAACGCTGCACTACAGCTCTTGTGAGCAACTGCTCCCAGCCCCAGCCAAGAATCACTGTGTTTTATACGTTTAATAAGCTCTAGTGAAAAGTAGTAAAATATCAAAACAGGTTTTAGGAAAGTTTCCATCTATTTTTTAGCTTCTTAGTAATTAAAAAAAAAAAAACCTTCAGAATGAATAACTCTTTACAACTTTAATTTGTCAGTTTATAATTAGAAAACAAAAATTTTATTTATTTATTTTTTGACAGGCAGATTTAGACAGACAGAGAGAAAGGTCTTCCTTTCCATTGGTTCACCCCCCCAAATTTCCTCCTGGTCTCCCATGTGGGTGCAGGGCCCAAGCACTTGGGCCATCCTCCACTCCTTCCCGGGCCACAGCAGAGAGCTGGACTGGAAGAGGAGCAACCGGGACTAGTATCCGGTGCCCCAACCGGGACTAGAACCCGGGTGCCAGGGCCGCAGGCAGAGGATTAGCCAAGTGAGCTGCGGCCCAGCCAGAAAACAAAAATTTTAAAAGTAACCTTTAGGATTTCAGATAGCTAAGTTTTAAAGACAGTATTTCAATAAACAGTGAGTTGACCTGAAGTGACAACAGTGTGCACATAGCCCTGCATGCAATCCTACTGCTGATTAGAGACCCAGCAAGGCTCCTGGTGAGACAGATGCCCACAGCAAAGGTAAAGGAATTCCTAACAAATATTCAGAAAGTTAGCATCACAGAAAGGTACCAGTCACAGCATGGGCCCTCAAGCCTCCTCCCCCACAAACCCTCAGAGGCCTTCCAGACTAAATAGGGGCTCACCTCATGAATTGTGGGTATCACTTAGCTGAGAGATCCCCTACTGCCACCCCTAGGCAGTGGAGGATTTTGGTCCCCAACTCCTTCCATATTCACACTCAAGACAGGTGAGTCAGGTGCACAGACACCATGGCCCCAGACAGCTCCGGGACTTTCCAAAACATCCATTTCATTATCCTAGGGAGTTCATGGCCAAGGCCACGTGCCCCTGAAAACTCGTGTTCCAACCAGCACCCCCTACAGACCCACACACGGAGTTTTGCCTAGCATGACTCACGAGGGTGCATATGCATGAGCACCAAAGTTAAAGCTGCAGGGAAGCAAAACTGAAGCACACACTCGCCTCTGCATCCAGATCAAACAGCACATGGCGCCCGAAGGACTATCCTCCTGCACACAGAACTGGGACAGGGCCTGCGCCGTCGTGCAGCCAATTACAGCTGCCTGAGAGGCCAGCATTCCATGTGAGTACCCCGTTCAAGTCCCAGCTGCACAGCTATGATCCGACTCCCTGCTTAGGTGCCTTGGAAGGCAGCAGAAGATATATCCTGGGTGTGGACCCCTGGCAGCCACAGAGGAGGCCGGATGAAGTTCCCGGCTCCTGGCTTTGGCCAGACCCAGCCCTGACTTTCATGGCCATTTGGGGAGTGAACCAGCAGATGGAAGATCTCTCTGGCACTCTGCCTTTCAAATAAATAAATAAATCTTAGAAAAAACAAAGATAGAATCGGGACAATGATGCTTTATGGGTCACCATGGTCTCGTTTCGTGCCGGGAGCAGCCAAGGCGGCCAGTGCTTCCTCCAGGAAGCTGCGGCGCTCCTCGCCCGCCCACTCCTCGTCCAGCAGGTCTTCTGTCTGCTTTTGTGTGAGCCACGGGATAGATTTCCCTGGGAAAACAGCCTACACTTCTCAGTAATATCATCAGAGGAAACAAAATGAATTTCAAGTGGCTGTAGAAGTAACTTTTTATATCTGAAATGGGAAAATATAATTCAAAACGAAGCAAAAGGAGCTTAGAGAGCACAGGAGATAATACCGATTGCTTTGGAAGATAGCTTGGCTTCGAATCCGTACAAGAGAAGGTGTTGAGAAATGCTCATTCCGGGACGCACAGCCGACTGCTCCTGGTGTGGGGAAGGGCACAGCAAACACACGGCCAGGGAGTGCCACACGTGAGTGCAGCAGGAGACCACACAGCCTAACTCCCCCGTCTGTGGGTCCAGCCGTGCTCGCGGCCCCTGGGGAGCGATGCCATTTACCAGGCTGGGAAGCTCCATGGGAGTGGGGTGTTGGAGGTGCATGAGGGACGGGGTAGCGCTAGATCTTGCAAGAGGCCGTGAAAGAGCCTTGCAAGAGGCTTCTCGAAAACAGCCCTGGTCTGTCTGTGGGGCAGCAACACGCAAGCCCCTAACAACCGTGGCCCCTCGCTAGACGTAACCGTCAAGGCCGAGAGGGGCAGGCCAAGGGGAAAGTGCACGAGGCTCGAGTGTGCGGACGCCAGGCAGCGAGCGCAGCTGCAGCCGGAGGTGGGCGGAGGCCGGGGAGGGCGAGCACTGACCACGCAGCTCGGGCTTGCGCTTGGTTCACAGGGCTTCACATCACAGAAACACCACTTCCTCCAGGAGCACTCCTGTCCTGCTCAGCAGGCCGCCGCACTGCCCCTCACAATGGCCCTCGTGAAGGGGCTGGCCCCGGGCAGGCGACCCACTCTGAGTACTGACTGAACGTCTCCATCACTGGTATATGCAAGCAGCCAGCACAGCCCTGAGGGGCGGGCACGCGTGAGCCACTGCTTCACAGGCTGAGGAAAAGCAAGTGAATATTAATTATGCTCCCTCTCAGTGTGCATCCTGCACGGCTGTGATGCATAGAAACACAATGGGAAAAAGGTTTGCTCATCAAGTCCTGTCAGGAGCCCCCCAGGCTACAAGACGGGTGAGCAAGCAGCCCACCCTCGGTCCTCTCTGCTCCCATCCTCCAAAAGCTGCCCCTCCCATCCCCGGCTGTGAGCTGCACGGCGGCGATCCTGTAGGTGACGCCAATGCTGGCAACACCTGGCGTGGATTCCACAGCCCCTGCAGCTGCCCAGGTGCACCTCTAACTGGCAGCCAGGGCCACCTCAGTCCCAACTGCTGAGCCTCTGTCAGTGGCAGCACCAGTGCTCCTGGGAACCAAGACTGCGGAGTCATTTTTTACATCTCTTTATCATTCTCAAACTATATGCAAAACAAAACAGCTTCATCCTATTTCTAATGTTTCTGCTTTGTTGGTTTCACTTCAATCAAACCTTACAACCTACCAAGGACCTGCTTGGTTGGTTCTAGTTTTCTGATGCCCACCGTCTCCTGCTAACTTTGCACACCGCAGACACGGCAGTTGTCCCCTCGTGGCCCAATTGCAGTCCTGCCGACTGTGGGAGGGCCCATCTCTGCACCTTCGCGTACTGTCTCTTGTCATCAAAACAGAAGACACCTCCCACTCTTGTCTTATGTGAATACCATCCAGAGCTTTAGCTCACGTGCTGCCCTCAGCAGGAGTATGCTCCACTGTGACTTAGGGGTCCCTGCCACATGCCAGCGTCACAAACAACATCATCACGACCACTCGCCTTCAGACGCGGTCGCTCGCCTGGGAAGATGTGGAACCGATGGCCTGCATTCCTGGCCATGTGGCTCCCCCTCCAGCTCACTACACCACCATGTGGGGAAGGATTGGGTTCGAGGTGGGGTACTATTGAGCAATGCCTGCCACATATGGGTCGAGAAAGAGGCAACTGGATGTGAAACCTACCAGCCACGCCCCCAGGCCACACTGAGCCCGTCACTACAGTTCCACAGTGACCTCTCCCCGCCACACACGGTACTCAGACTGCTGGAGCATGGGGTCACCCCGGTTACACTGTAGGCTCCCTACAGCAACCACGCTGGCCTTGCCGGGACACACGACCTGACCACAGACTCAACTAAGCCCCTGCCAGCACCGCAGCCTACCGCGCCCTTGGAAAAGATCACCGCCTCCCAGAGCTAGACTCTTGGTGTTTTCAGTGAGAACACTTGAGATCTGCACTCAGCAAATTTCAAGTACACAATCCCTTATTAGTAACTGAAGTCATCACGCCACCTCATGGCTGAAAGCGTGTACCCACATGTGCCTGTCGTCTGTCACGCTCCCACTGCCTCATCTGTCCCCTGCATCTCTAGGAGTCTGACTTCTCCAGGTCCCTTAGCTCTGCGGTGTGACGTACCCCGCTTGCTGGATCCGCAGACGTTGAGCCATCCTTGTACCCCAGGGAGGAGGCCCCTTCACCGTAGGGTGCAACCCTTTGATGTGCTGCTGGATTCACATCTACCTCCAACAGAATGCTGGCCTGTCATTTCCTTTCTTTGTTGCGTTTGCCTCACTTTGGCATCAGAGCCACGTAAAATGAGTTTGGGAGTGTTCACGTCTCTGCAGCTGCCGGTGAGTCCAAGCAGTGCTGGCATTTACTCTCGGCTCGCTGACGGGTCAACCAGGGACGGAAGACTTCTTACCACAGACTCGGCCTCCTTACATGGAATTGAGCCCTTCAGCATTTCTATTTTCTTCATGATGAAATCTTGGTGGCTGTAGATTTCTACAGATTTGTTCATTTCTTCTAGATTATCCGATGTACTTGTGCAAACTGTTCGCAGTACCCCCTCATGCTCCTTTTATTTCTGTGGCATCGGCTCTCCTATTTCTAACTCAGTTGACTCTTCCCCTTTTCTTTGTCTAGATAAGGCCTGTTGATTTTGTTTATCTTTCCAAAAAACCAAGTATTTGCTTCGTTGACCTTTTTTGTTGTTTTTCGAGTCTCTATTTCACTCATTTCTGTTCTGATATTTGTTACTTCCTTTCTTCTGCTAACTTTGGGCTTAGTTTGCTCCTTTTTTTTTTTTTCTAGTTTCATAAAGCATAAAGTTAAGTTGTTTGAGATCTCTCTCTGTAATGAATGTAGGCATTTAATGCTATGAATTTCCCTCTTAGAACTGCTTTTGCTATATCCCACAAGTTTTGTATGTTGTGGATCTACTGTCATCTTTTCAAGAAATTTTTTTATTTCCATTTATAATGTGGGTGGGCTTTGGCTAGAATTTTCTTTGAAGTGTGCCACACCCTTTCACCACCCACAGACTGGTTTGCATGACCCACTTCTGCACGCTGTTCTAGGACAACGGCACAGTCACGGTTCTCTCAGGGGAGAGAACTGCTTCTTCCCTGGTAAGCGCCCGGAAACCTCTTGGCCTATCGAGGTTTGCTGTTTATGATAGTTGGTCTACAACATGGCTGAGGGAGTCGTCCATCCTTTCTGTTACTGAAAAGTGTTCCTTTCAATGAGCTTGAAAAGCCTGTTACACACTTGTGTCTACCAAGTTCTGTCAACACAATAAAGCACAGCCAAGTGGGCACTGAGGGAGTGCTCCCCTGAGTGAAATACAATACACTTCCTGCTCTCAGGAAGCCCCAGTTCAGCTTGTGCCTTTCAATGCTGCACAGGTAAAGTCTCCCAGACCCATTAAAACTAGAAAGCCAGGGCCCCTCGCATTCCCACCCACCGGCAACAACTACTGCTGGTAAGCGAGGCATGGCTTTCCAGGTCTTTCCTACACATACATCACTGCGTGCAGCACAGGCATAATTATTACTTAGGGAAATGTGATCAGCCGATTAACATTTTCTGCAACTTGCTGTTTTTACTTAAAATATATCATGGGTAACTTTCCATGTCAAATAGAGTTCTTTCCAGAGATTACACAGAACTCTACTGTTTGGATTAATGTAATTTTTAAATCCAATTCCCTCCTGTATGACATTTCTTCCAGCTTTTCACACAATTGATTCCCACGAGGAAGCAGAAGCCCCTGGAGACATACTTCCTGGCACACTGTAGAATGAGTTTGGAATTGTAACTGCCAGGTCAAAAGACAGACACACTTACCAACGCATGTTCTAAAGGTGCACGCTGCCCCCCCCATCCTCATGGCTACCAGCTTTTAGCCACAATTGTGGTTTTGGCCTTTCTGACAAGAACTCCGCAGCCCTGCCTCAAAACTCAAAACTTCTTTGCCTTAATTTTCACTTTCTTGACAACCAGGGCTTTGCGTGTCTTGTCAGATAGGTGCTGGCCACTTCTAATTCCTCGGAAAACTGCTGGTCCACGTTGGGAATTGGGCTAAGGAGCGCCAAAACCCTGTTTGCTGGCAATCCCCAGTTTTCCACTGGAGAAAATGGCCAGTGAGCTGGGCCCAGATTGGTAGAGAATTACAGCCACACAGAAAATAATAACACTTCTTTTAGAGCTGAACCACATCTACCCAATGAGGAAAGAGATTCATAGTTACCGACAACAACATGAAACAAAATATATCAATTGTCCAACAAAAAGTGAAATCTCCACTGAAGTCAAGGATCCACGCTGGATGACTTTGAGCAGCCAGGCTTTCACTAGGCAGAGGGTCAGTGTCTCAGCCTTTGTGGGACTCTCTGGGCCTCTGGGGCTGCTCAGTCCAGCCTCTGTAGCTCAGAAGCACCCACAGGTGACACCTAAGCCATGGGCAGCAGCTGTGAGCCAATGAAACAGGTGGCTGGGGCCCCAGAGCCACGCAGTAGGGAGATGGTGTCTGCCTATTTCGTGGGCAGAATAGGAAACAACGAACAGGAATGAGAAGCACTCTGCTCTTCACCCGGACTTTCTCCCCTCTTTCCAGTGTTGGAAACTGGCCTGGATCCCAAGGTAGGCAGAGTGTCCGTGTCAGCTGAGGACAGCTGCGTGGGCCACCAGAGTCATGTCCAGATCAGATGAGAGAAACCCTCAGGGACCCAGGCTGCTACTGTCCAGAACAGGACACCAATAGAAAGGAGAGAAAATCCCACTACGTGCTCACCTTTGGGCCCCTAGAGACCCTGGGCTGGGTCACAGTGGCAGCATCCACACTGCCACAGCTGCTCCCTGGAAGCCTCATCCCAAACTCTGCAGGGGCCGAGCGACCTGCTGCCTGGTGGGTGGAAGTCCCATGCTAGAGAGGGGTCCCCTTTGCCCTCCAGCAGGGCCCACCTCTCAGGGGGGAGCAGTGATACCGAGGCTCTCACCAGCTCCTGCATCTTTTCTCGGGGTTTTCCTTCCTGGGCTGGGATCGCAAATCCTGGTGAAAGTCGTTTCTCTGCTGTAAAACACAAGCTAAGAACCTCAGCTGAGTAATTCTCACGCAACTGAAGCACCTACATGGCTTTCTGTGGCAACTTAGAACATCTTAGCACTGACTTGAGAGTTTGCAAACCAAACTTCTCCTGGAAAACGTCAATCAAAAAAGGAAAAGGAAAATTAAGATCGTCGATGACCACTTACCTGTTACTAACGCCCCTCTCTTAGAGACGTGAGTCACTGAGCATCACTAATGAGTTAAGAGACGGCTCGAGCACAGAATTACAGGCGGCATTACTTCTGCTACTCATTCCTCATTACTTCGGCCAGGCTTGGCCTGAAGGCCCAGAGCTGCTGTCGTCAGTCTGTCAGCAGCTGCCTTTAGGAGCACACTCAGGAGTGTACGCACCGAAGCAAACTCCCCAGAGCACCAAACAAAAGCTCCTTGTGACTTCTCTGGGAAGTGGCGAGGGGCTGGAGAGAGGTGGGGTCTGCAGTCCATGACACGGATGAGTCCATGACAGTGGATGAGTCTCAATGTTCCTGGAAGCAGAGCTCTTAGAGTAAGGCTCAGCACGGTCTTGTTGGTTCAACTCCAGGTCACGGCAAAACTTACTCAAGCAAAGACTTAGCACACCTTTCCCAAAATGCAAGGTTGGGAAGTTTGTAACATACTTACAAATGAACAGGTTCACCAAAAGCAAATCAGAACCCTTTGCTTTGAGCAGTGATTTCTTGCTACTCATCAATAAATGCCTCAGTAACGCCACTGGGCAAAATGGCACAGACACGTCGTCTGATGCCCAAAGGTTCAGCAGCCGTGCCCAGGCTGGTGGCCACTGGGCAACACCCCCAAGGAAAGCAGTGCTGCGGAGGTCATGTTTCTGCATGTGGCCACTGAGACTGGACATGAACAAAAGCACCCAGGAAGTGACTCGGGAAGGTGACCCAGCAGGTGCACCGAGAAAGGGGTGTGTGGGGGATTCCAAAATAGTGGAACATTAACCCAAGAAAAGGTATCTGACTTTCAGTGCTAACCAAACACACACACCATGAAAAGCAGAACAAACCCATGGTTTGGAGAGGCACGGCACGCGTCTGCCGCCAGCCTGTGGAGTGTGAACTCTGGCTCCTGCCGTCTTCCTCTCTCTGTGCTCTGGTCTCCTCACTGTCCAGTGGGGATGACAGTCACTCACCAACACCGTAAGTCTGTGACAACCAAAGGAGGCAGGATTTGGAAAAGGCAGCACACAGTAGGTGTCCAATGAGCTTAGCTACCAGTGAATACAATTACATCTGTGCTTCCCAAGCTGTGCGTGGTGCCAGACTCTGTGAGTATTTGGCAAATCTAGGGAGGGAACGCTTTTGGTTTTCACAATGCCTGGGAGGGCAGTGCGGCTGGCAAGTGAGGACTGGGGCTGCTGGCTGTCCCCGAGTACACAAACATCTGTCAACCACAAATGTGACCAGGTCCCACATTTTGTCAAAAGCCTCCCTTTGGACTGGCGCTGCGGCTCATTTGGCTAATCCTCCGCCCGTGGCACTGGCACCTCGGGTTCTAGTCCCGGCTGGGCACTGCATTCTGTACCAGTTGCTCCTCTTCCAGTCCAGCTCTCTGCTGTGGCCCGGAAGGGCAGCGGAGGATGGCCCAAGTGCTTGGGCCCTGCACCCACATGGGAGACCAGGAGGAAGCACCTGGTTCCTGGCTTCAGATCGGCGCAGCACGCCGGCCGTAGCAGTCATTTGGGGGATGAACCAATGGAAAAGGAAGATCTTTCTCTCTGACTCTCTCTCTCACTGTCTAACTCTGTCAAAAAAAAAAAAAAAGCCTCCCTTTGAAAAGCAATAAAAACTTCTTTAAAATTTCTCTGAAACAAAAAATTAGCATCTTTATGGGCATCAAAAAATGCCTTGGGGACATCTCTGCTGAGGACATCATGCTGAGCACAAGCGCCTCTGGAGTGGCCAGAAACTCATCCTCTGTCGGTTCCAAAAGGCACAGACTCAGTCGTGTTTCCCACGCTCCCCACGTCTCAGCCTGCCGCACGGGACTCCGAATCACACCACACTTTCAGTAGCATCAGGGTTCCCCAGGTGGACTCCGTGCAGGGTCAGCCACGCACCACTGGAGCTCCACCTGCCCAGGTCAGCTAAGCTCCCATCACACACATGGGCAATTCCATTCCGAGAGCCCGGAAGGCCACGCTGCTGGCAGTACCTGCTGGCCCTGTTTTAAGGTGAATACACAAGATGGTGGAGCCTCCTGTCTGCTGTCCCCACACTCGCAGCCCACAAGACATTGGAGCTGGCACCCAGTCTAGGTCGGGATACCCAGTCTGCTAAGGGTCACTGAAGATGGGCCTTCCTCATGGGGGTGGGGTGCGGGCACATGTGGAAGGCCATGGGCCACCCACACAGCTGCATGTCTGCCACTCACTCCTGAGGAGTCACGGCTGTCACATCCACATCATACAAATCTAAAGACGAGAGGAGCCCGCCTGCCGTGTGTGTGCTGCAGTAGCCAATCTCTGACGACCCAGAGATTCTGACAGCAGGACGGAGGGGAAATCCGGGTCCTCCAGATGAGCCTGTGGCCAGCGCTTGCCAACCCATCTGTACACCACCAGGTGAGGGGAGCAGCCGGCTGTTGGGCTGGGTGAGAAAGCTCACAGCCTTTCCTTCTGGGGTCACTCTAAGCTGGGTGTGAGCTGGTAGCAGGGCATGGTAGAGAGAGTTTGTAGACGCCCTTAAAGGAAAAGACACGGAAGCCACCAGAGACAACACAGCATACACCATCTGCATGTCAGGGTCACCTTCCGGTCCTTGCTGCTGCCTGTGCGCCCGCAGTGCTGTGAAGGGCAGGAGAGGTGATGTACAGAGACAGGAGGCTAGGGTGCTGCTCACCTGGGAACCCCTGGGACAGCCTCCCATCTGCTGTGTCTTCCCACCCCCAGATAAAGGGGAGCCTGGGCCAGCTGATGAATGGAAACCTCTAGGGGACACAGACACACAGACACACACACACACACAACAGGCTGCATTCACACAAGAACCGTCCACCAGGCTGACAGAGTCAAAGAGCAAGGACCAGGTTCACTTTCTCGGAAAGCTGTGATTTCTTTCTCTATATGCAAATGCTCAGGTGTACCAGGATCAGACACTGTTCCTGCAAATTTTCCTTCTGATTTGCCACTGAGTGGGGTGGCTGTCTTTGTGCTCTGCCTGTCAGGCGTCCCCTCCACTCTGCCCTGGTGGCCAGTCCTTCCTGCCCGTACACGAGCCCTGCTCCGGCTGCCGCTAACTCTCGCTTCTTCCCACCTTGCTACTTCACATTCTGGTCTTCATCCTACAGCATATCCACCTAAGCCGCCACGCAGGCAGCTCCTCCTCGTTCTTCTCCAGGGCAGAGTCAGCTCCGACACTGGGCCAGGCCGACAGATCCCTGCAGGAGAAGAGCATCTGTAGGGTGCGCCCAGAGCTGTGATGTAAATGAGATGGCGAACGCTGCCCTGCGGGGAGGGCTCCTTTACGGCTTGTTCCATTTCTTACCCGGGGTGACACATCCGAAAATAACTGCTGCTATTTTATAGGCAGCACGCTCTGTGGTCCTGTTTGCAGCATACCTTATAATAGCTGAATATGCAAAGTGCAACACAAAGACTCATTCTATCTGAGCATGGATCACCACCATGAAACCAGTGCTGCAAACCCGAGACCCTCTGCACACTCGCTGCTCCAAACTCGGAAGTTTATTTCCTTGTCCATAAAAGTCACGCGCTCTGTCGCTCTCAACCAGTGCATCTGAGAGGGCGTAAAACGATGGTAACAAGCAGAGAGCAAGGCAGCACGTGCCTCATACACGGACGTACAGCTCCATCGTGACCACTGAGAGAGACGCATGACAGGGACGCTTCTGTAAGCAGAGCCCGAGAAACAAACCAGGCAAGAGCCTCAGCCTCCTCACGGTGGCCTCCAGGGGCCACGACAACAGGAATCTGGCTGATTTGGTGGTTTCACACCACTCAGAGAAGTGGCTCCATTTAAAGTAAGTGGTGCATTATTAAAATAAGCGAGTTCACACCGGGGTGAGGGCAGCTTGAGACGCACCACAAGCGCTTGAGGCAACAGCAACGTGGAATTAACAAGTCACATCATGTCCATGTACGTCCCCCAGCCTTTCAAGATGCGCTGTGAGGGTGCCAGGGAACCTGGTTCTAGGTGGTACAGCTCCTAAGAGGCCGGCAGCCACCACCCCACCCCACACACGAGACAGCTACACAAACTGCAGCGCCTGAGGGTTAGGGTGACCCAGGAACAAGGGTGTAAATGTGTTCTCACATTCAAAACACCTCCAGTCTATGATTTTACTGAAAACGGGAAGAAATATGATTAGCTTTGAAAAGTTCATAGAAAATGGGGCCGACTTTAAAAAGCTATTCATTTAAACCTCAGGTTTAAATCATCACAAACAGAACCCTCAGCTGTATGATCTTCCTCTGTGATCTGAATGCTCATGTCACAGAATTCATGAAGAAGTCCTAATCCCCAGTGTGAGGGCATCAGGACGGGGTTTGGTGTAGCAGTAAGGGCCCACGCGTGGGGCTCTCACGCAGGGGATCGGTGCCTGTAGGCAGGGGCCCGAGGGGTTCCTTCTCCCTGTACCACACAAGGATGAGGAGACGGCGCCATCTATGACCCAGAGAGAAGGGCCTCCCCAAACACATCTGCCAAGGCCTTGGCCACAAACCCCCACACTCCAGAACCAACAGAGAATATGGCTGTCCTTTGCAGGTCTCCCAGTCTATGGTGTTTTGTCATAGCAGCGTCCTAAAGGGGACGCACTGGCACCCATAGCCCAGGACACTGGACATCTCCTATGCTATCCCACGGAACACTGGACATGTCCTACACTCTCCCACCGGGGACGCACTGGCACCCATAGCCCAGGACGCTGGACATCTCCTATGCTATCCCACGGGACACTGGACATGTCCTACACTCGCCCATGGGGGACACACTGGCACCCATAGCCCAGGACACTGGACATCTCCTATGCTATCCCACAGGACACTGGACATGTCCTACACTCGCCCACGGGGGACACACTGGCACCATAGCCCAGGACACTGGACATCTCCTATGCTATCCCACGGGACACTGGACATGTCCTATACTCTCCCATGGGGGACAAACTGGTACCCATAGCCCAGGACGCTGGACATGTCCTATGCTATCCCATGGGACACTGGACATGTCCTACACTCTCCCATGGGGGATGCACTGGCACCCATATCCCAGGACACTGGACATCTATGTTATCCCACGGGACACTGGACATGTCCTACACTCGCCCATGGGGGATGCACTGGCACCCATAGCCCAGGACTCTGGACATCTCCTATGCTATCCCACGGGACACTGGACATGTCCTATACTCTCCCATGGGGGACACACTGGTACCCATAGCCCAGGACACTGGACATCTCCTATGCTATCCCACGGAACACTGGACATGTCCTATACTCTCCCATGGGGGACGCACTGGTACCCATAGCCCAGGACACTGGACATCTCCTATGCTATCCCACGGAACACTGGACATGTCCTACACTCTCCCATGGGCGATGCACTGGCACCATAGCCCAGGACACTGGACATCTCCTATGCTATCCCACGGGACACTGGACATGTCCTACACTCTCCCATGGGCGATGCACTGGCACCATAGCCCAGGACACTGGACATCTCCTATGCTATCCCATGGGACACTGGACATGTCCTACACTCTTCCATGGGGGATGCACTGGCACCCACGCTCTGCTTCCTAGGCTCCGGGATACTCTTGCTTCTCAGAACTCTGCTGAAGCAGCTTTTAGTCCTATCACTTAATGGAAACCTTCATCAAGATCCCAGGGAGGAGACAGGCTGCTCTTGTCTTACATATAATTATCTGTGCCTTTGGATTTAGCATTCCAAGTTTCCTGCACTGAGCTGGGTGTGCGTCACATCGTTCTGCTGGCGCAGTGACGGCCCCTTCCTCATTCCCAACATTTATGCGGGCAAGGGAGACTCTGACAACCACCCTCTGTTTCACGGTGGATGCCTGAGCAGACCTGGAGGAGGATGACAGCTCCACAGGGTCTTGCACTGCTGTAAGACTGCTCGTCTCCTGCGTGGCACGTGGTGTCAGGCATCACTCTGCACCTACA